GCTGCGCAACTCCTTCATGTTTCTCCAACCGATGTTTTTCCCCCGTAATCCTTAGATAGGCCGCCACGTTCTGCAAGCGCATGTGCAGTAAGCGTATTGATGGCAATCCAACAACCTAGACAACCTATAGATAGAGCCTGACATCGGGGACTCCGTTGACATCGACGAGGTTGCCTGTTAATTTTCTATAGGCCCGAGTGAATCGTTGGAGGGATTCTGGTCACCCTGCATGGAGCGTTTATAATCCCTCGAGCTGGCTTGATTGTACTGCAAGATCGGTATTTGAGCCAGTGGCTCAGTACTTGAACGGCCTATTCAAGATGCAGTCTGTCGTTAGCTGAAATAAAGTGAGAGCAGCTGTTCTTCTTGAGTGTGCTGCCTTTCATCACTGGAGAGTATTATCTGGTCCTTCTGTACGTTCGTGCATAGGTTCTACTCGCGGTTTGTGTGCTGAAGTACTTGTGAGCTCAAGAGTTATGAACGGAATCCGGAACAGCAGAGATAATACATGGCACTTCTCCCTATTAAGCGGTAGGTAATTTGCAGTTGACTGACTAAAAGTTGTGTGTAGGTCACTGATGTGATTAGGTAACACTCACTCCCAGCTTCTAATACCTGTGGGGTTCAAATGCTCCTAGGGCATTTGCTCACAGATCAAATATGCGGATCACGCAGCTCTTCTTGGATCTGACGCCAGTGTAATTAACATTAAATAACGAAATTAAATGATGTAAATAATTGTGCGCCAATGGTTGGCATGCGCTTCACACCTAAAAAGTGCTAAGTACTGCTGCAAGACTGGGTGGGCCCGAACCCTTAACTCTTGTTTGCGATGGAGCCGATTGAGGTTGCAGCCAAATTTATCTTAGCAGCTGTATCAACCCCGATGGTCTTGCAGAGGATGTTTCCATCCAGATTAGGAAGGCTAGGTTAGCTTTTGTGAACATCCATCACCTGTGGTGTGGCGTGACGCCAGTTTATCTGTCAAGAGTTGTGCTCGCAATGCTCCGGTGTGCTCCATATTATTATTGCTGATCAGGACGTCACAAATTTTCATTTTTTGACTGTCGATGTCTTCGGAGCATTTCCCGGGTCTAGTGAGAACATCAAATTGTCTTCGAAAGAAGTAACTCGCCCCTGACAGGTTAACTGATAAAACTCCGTAGGTTGGGCTGGTTTGGCTACACGCTTCGTATGCCGGTTGACCGAGTTCCTCGAAAACCTCTCTTCCCATATTGAAGTGTGAAAGTCATCAAACTCAGTGACGCTGTTCATGGCCGTCTCCATGGACGGGACACCAAGACAGAACATCACTGGTTAGGAGCATTGTCAGACATGGCCCAGTCGTGCGCTCAGTTGTGCTCGTCTATCTAAGCTTTTGTCTCCAGTGCTTAGCCTCCTGCCAATCTTCTCACTCCCCTACTTAGGCGCTAATTACATCAGCTGCTACCTCCAACGCGTAGCTATCTATCTCACCTTTCCAACGGACGAAAGTGTGGCACATATAGCCATTGTACGGCGAGTGCTGTCTTTTTTGCGTTGCCCATAGAAACACCGGTAGTTCTGCAAATATGCCAATCTTGGACTAAAAATTGACAGCGGGGCATTAGTTACACTGGTTTGTCGTTAACAAGGGTGAGGAAGATAGATGGTCCCTTTGCAGATCCTTGTGGTGCTCCACTTGGGTTAGCCGTATAATCAGAGAACACTGCACTTCCCCCAACTAGGATGGTTCTGTTCGGTAGATCACAGTAGTGCCCGTGTCTGAGTGACCCTTGGATGTTATAAGCAGCCAATAGTTACACGTACTAGAAGTCTATAAGTAAGTCGAGATAGACAATATCGAATCCTTCGTCAAAGTCGGTTGCCTGTTTTTACCTTTTAAGTAGAAAGTTATTTAAACATTATCTTTATTTCCGGAAATCTTATTGCACGGGTGGTAGCATATTCCGATGTTCGAGTTCACCGCACAACCGATCGCCCACAAAGAGCTTCATGACTCTGGATAGGTCGTGGAGGATAGTGATCCGCCCGTAATTTTCGGAGTCCAAACTCCAGCCGCCCCTAAAAACGGGTCGATATCTCGGTTTTTAACTCTTGAAACACGGGGGCACCAGCACCTAACTAAGGATACACTGTTGTGTTTTGCGCGGTGGCCGAGCTATTGGTTACGCTTGCACTGCGCCTGCCAGACTACGCGATAGGGAGAAGACAGAGAACTGGGGACATGGCTGTATTGCCAGGACAAAACATACAGAATGTCTGCGTAAATATATAGGATGACTAATTGGCCAAATATGCTCGTTCACTTGTTCACTCCGTTCAACCAATGGTGGTGTTCCGGTCGTGAACATTCTCAGGCCCACTACGCTGGTCGTGTGTTGCTAAGCCGTTTGGTGAGAGCCGTGTTTCGTGTGAGCCGCCAACTCACCTACTTTCCGGACGTGTCGTACCGATGGTGACCTTGGGGATGCGTCACTCTCTGCAGATATACTTTTTCTTCTGTCTGGGCGCGCCCTGACATACACCCTCACAGCACAAACGTAATTATCTGTAGCCGCCTGATTACGAAGAAGGTAACTAGTTATGATTTGCACACAACTTTAGAACAGTCGTAATCAAGCAGTACTCTATTGCTTTTTCTTAACCGTTTTGCTTATTAGTGAACAATAGCTCACGGAGTTGGTTTTTCACTTAGTTGGTTCAAATGTCCGGGAAATGGAGGGTTAGCATGCTTGTCTTTGGGAAACTATGAATGCTGCAAACCTGCCAGCAAGCAGGTCTGTTGTCATCGGTCACCTCTATCCTCGATCGATCCTTGCAATTTAGCACCAATTAAGCGACTAGCTGTTTGTCCACGAAACTTGTAGACGACCCTACTTGATATTTCTGCGGAACACACTAAACTTTTATTACAGCCACCAAGAAAACCAAGCAAGGCACTTCAAACGGCTTGCAGGAAAGAACGTTTACGCCAACAGTCAGTCCCAAACTTGCGTTTCTTTGTTCCCTAAACTGTGACCTCTGTCGATATTAGACGGTGATGCCGTGGAAAGAAATTACCATTGATGAGATAGGAAAATAAGGTAACTAATCATTATCATTTATTGAATTTGGGACCGTTCCCATGCAAATAAAGGGCTGCAGTATGTGCACCGTCTTACCAAATGCTTGGTAAACAGTCCTCTCGCATCTCAGAGAGGGCTGAAATCATGGACTCGTCAGTGCCGTCTACGAATTGTCCCAGCTGTCTATAGAAGCGGATAAACACAATATACCAGAAACTTTTCACTTCAAAACAAGTAGCTGCAACCTCCTGCAACCCACAGTAGTTGTATCGCAACCCAAAACGACAATTTGATTCAAGTAGAAGAGCTTGAGGAGTTTGCTGATCCACCGGAGATCACAAATAGATTCCCGGAGAGCCACAGTGATTACCTGTGGTATGGTCACCAATGAACCAGATGTGGATCATTCGTGAAGGTCAGATGTTAAGCAAGTAGATGTCGTGCGTGGAGAGAAAACTGAGGAGAGCCTACGGCTACATCAATCGTCGCCTTAATCCTTCAGACGATATTCGAATGCTCCTCGATGGCGAGGTTGTAAAGGTAACAACACAAAAGCCACTTTCTTAGCCGCACACATTTCGCTTCAGTTTTTTCGGGACGCAAAGTGTCGTTGTCTTCTCTCACTCAAACTAACTTCGGTACAGCGAACACCAGGCTTCGGCTCCTTTACAGTGACTGAACCTATGCAAAGGCGTTAGTTCCGGATAATTTGGACCCCCTCATTCTTTCCTATCTTGCGAGGGTGTTGAAGGTGCTCCTAGCCGTCTTGTTCTCTACGCACAGACATTATAATTTGCGATCGAAAGATTGCGACTACCGAACTCTTACGAAAAAATGGAAAGCTGTTGGATTACAGGCCAGTAAGCTCTATACCCGTCACTGGCAGACTCATGGACTAGAGGATGAAGCGTATACCATTGGACTATATGAACTAATTTGAGCTAACTCAGTGTTTGAAGCGAAAACTTACTGCCGGAAAGTTCGTGGTTCGAACCCAGCCTGGGCATCTCGACTGTTCCTGTCTTGACTTGGAGAACCTCGTGCTTCCTGTGGGTGTCGCGATAGCTGGGCATCGAAAAGGGGAGCTGAGGCGCAGTTTGGTTTGATTTAGGGCTGTATGAATATCAAAAGTTTGTCTACTGATGTTCAGCACGTATCAGCTACTTTACGCACCATGTCGGTTCAGGAGGAATAGACTCGACTCCTAGACAGGGGTTGTCACATTCACGGCATCTTTGTCGTTTTCAGAAGTCTTTCGACCAGACGAATCTCCATCGTGCTGCAATAGCGGCGCTCGTTAACTGGATTACACATTTCCTCAAAGACCGGCGTCTCGTCGTGCTGCGGTGATGGAATCCACTGCTACCTCATAGTGAGAAGTGGTGAGGAACTGTACATAATCCAGTACTGCTCGGTCAGTTCATTAACAAGATACTTCAGCTAGTTTACCATTTCTGCTGTTCAACGTCATTCTCAAGGTATGGTGATTGGTTCTTAACCTAACAGACTTCGTTAAACTCTAACAGCATCTGAGCTTTAGCGGAAATGTAACCATCGCCACCTCACAGCCAACCAGAAATTTCTGCATCTTCACTTGGACATCTTCGTGAGCCACTGTATATACACCAATGTCGAAATCTTAGCATCTGAGAAACGAAGTATGATCACAAGGTCCAGACATCTGGAAGCCCGAGGGCTCATGATCATACCACCTGTCGGACTGCAAAAGGTTACTATATTTTATGAGTACTGTGGGGTTATTTTGCATGTTGGCTTACTGATACGATGCACAGGTTCGTTTCAACCTTCCTATGGCCGCCTACCTAATGTGGCGCACCAACGTTCTTTCCCTTGTCTACAGAAAACCTACTATAGCGTATGCCGCACCCTGTGTTGAAGTTCTTTTGTCAACGAAGATTATCCACACGACATTCACCCTTCCAAACTGTAGGGTCTACAGACGTGATGCGCCAGTCCTTTATTTTGTGTTTCCACGCAGCCCTTGGATCCATAGAACGGACTACTATCACGTCGTCTTCGGTCACCGAGTCGGAAAGCGGCACTGGATAAACACTTTGGTACGACTTGGGCACCTGGACGAGCGGGCCAAAACATGGAGATACACCGTCAAATTTTAAGACAAGTTCATCTCATCGGATAACTCCAGTACGATGAACTCACAGGAGAGAGCTGACCCAAGCCAAAGCTTCTGCACTCACAAACCTGAACATCGGGAAGAAACAACATTTAGAGGATTCGACGAAAGTTGAATGGACGCACCAGCTCCTGTCAGGAAAAATCGGGTGATTCAATGGACAACACGACTCGAAAACGACAAAATCCCGTGGCTGTACTCAGAATTCATTGCTAAAGGGCTAAGAAAAATCTCGTTTGTGCCCATCCCTATCATACTCTTGCGGCTTCCTCATCAACTGCGGTAGCGCAGCTATGTGACACAAATGTCGCTGTTTTTTGTTGTTCTCCGTGCCTCTTTCAGGATGTCACGAAACGCGAGGTGGAGAGCATATGACTTGCCAGAAGGATTTTGAAGAAGACAGCCATTGGTTCAGGTGTTGTTGGTGCCTTCCGTGATGGGATCTCCGCGACCCTCCCGAGCCTGTCTATAGACATTGCAAGGAATGACGGCCGATCGATATCCGTTACGTTCACGCTGTCGGTTTGCAGATTGTTTGATTGACCGTTTGGAGCTGTGGACACCTCGGAATGATGTGAGGTCCACCCTTTCACCACTGTTTCCATTCTAAGGCTTTAAATACGCCTGCCGCTCCTTCTGGAAAATTGAAGATCAAAGAATGCTGGAAACGTGCGTAAATTGTTCCACTTGATTCGTTCGACTGGTCCTCAGAAACCTCTTGTCAGTGAAACAATTCGGGACCAAAATGGCTCCCTGATATGCAGCAAAGCAGAACGTTTGGATCGCTGGGCACAGTACATCGAACAACAATTCATCTGGCCACCTGCTAACCCCAATCCAGAAACCCGGCCTTCAACAGAGAGGTGGACCGTAAATATGGAGCCGCCTTCAGTCTCAGAAGTGTCCGAATGCATTTCTCTACTCAAGCGTCATCGCGCTGCTGGTCCTGACGACCTTCCACCTGCTCTCTTCAAGGATGGCGGTGGATTCCTCAGTCGGTGCCTGTCTAGCCTATTTGGGTTTATCTGGGAGAAGGAGACCG